TGTTCCCTCTCATCACGCGTGTTGGCTGGAGCAGCGCTTGAATTTCCTTCCAGAACCTCTTGGCCTTCACAGCAGGCTCACTGTTGGGTGCGAGAGGCCTCGCTTTCAGCTTCTCTTGGCGTTGGACAAGCCTCACCAAGCTGGTCGTTTCTGCTTTTGATTCAAAGTGAGAGGTGCAGCTCTTCCTTCCCTGGGCCTCCTGGAGGCCATTGTGGGCTCTGAATGGGCCTGACTTCCGTCTTGTTGTGTCTCAGGAAATAGGGGGCCCAGGAGAGAGAGAGAGATGGGTGGCCGGTCGGTGGAGCAGTGAGAGCACAGCATTTATCAGTTAGGTTCTTGGTCTCATACGGGGCAGTTTGTGGGCCCCAAACAATGACAGGAGTAAGGTTAAGGGTCACTGATCACAGAGCACCATGACCAGGTGGTGACGATGACAAGGTTTGTAATATTTCAGCAGCACTGAGCACAGGCTGTTGGGGAAGTGGTGCCCGTGGGCTGGCGAGATGCAGGGCTGCACAAGCCTTCGTTGGTGGAATCGCAGTCTCTGCGAAGCGCAGTGAAGCGAGGTTGCCTATATTGCCAGAGATAATAAGGGGCATTTCAAAATGAACAAAGAGGCAGTTCATCAAGACATAAAATCCTAAATATGTATCCACATAATAAAATAAATTCTAAATACATGAAGCAAAAACTTACAAATCAAAAGGAGACATGAATACATCCACAGTTATAGTTGAAGACTGCAATCCTCTCTCATTATTTGATGAAAGTAGTCACAAAAGCAGTTGTCAGCTGATTTTATCAGTTATCATTATATTATTACTGTCAACCAACTTGACTGACTCCCCCAGCAGCAGAGTGAACCCGGTTTTCCAGGGCGCATGCCACATTCACTAGGATGGACCGTGGACTGTGTCATAGGCAAGGCATTGGGGAGGACACTGCAGCCTGCATGCAAGTCCAGCCCACTGCTTGCTCTTTGCAGCTTGCAGACTGAGAGTAGTTTGTTTTTAAGATTATTAATTGATTTTCAGAGAGAGAGGAAGGGAGAGGAAGAGAAAGAGAGAAATAGTGCCGGGGATCAAGCCTGCAACCAAGGCATGTGCCCTGACTGGGAATGGAACCAGCAACTTTTCAGTGCCTGGGACCACGCTCAACCAACTGAGCCACACTAGCCAGGGATGAGAGTAGTTTTTGTGTTTTTAAAGAATTGTTAGGAAGAAGGAAAAGAACATGCAACAGAGATCCTATGGGACCTACAAAGCTGAAAATAACTCTTGCTGAGCTCTTTCAGAAGAAGTTTGTTGAACTCCATGCGAGGCCATAAATCAAATACCAATACAGTTAAAGGAATGAAGTCACATAAGCCTGCTCTCTGAGTACAACAGAAATGAGATATCAGTAACTAAGAGCTATTTAGGAAGTCCCAAAATAATTTGAAAATTAAGCATTATATTTTAAAGTGTAAGTCAAAGAAAAAAGTCACAAGGAACATTATAAATATAAAAATCTGTGGGATGCAGCTAAAGTAGTGCTTGAAAGAAACTTTGTAGCTTTAAATGCTTATAATAGAAAAAAGGTCTAAAAAATCAATGATATGACCAGGCCAGTGTGGCTCAGTGGTTGAGTGTCAACCCATGAACCAAGAGGTCCCTGGTTCAATTCCTGGTCAGGGCACATGCCCAGGTTGTGGACTTGATCCCCAGTAGGGGGAGCGCAGGAGGCAGCTGATCATGATTTTCTCTCATTTCTCTCTCTCTCTCTCTCTCTCTCTCTCTCTCCCCCTCTCTCCCCCTCTCTCCCCCTTCCTCTCTGAAATCAATAACAAATACATATTTAAAAAATAAAAGAAATAAAAAATATTAAAAAAAAATAAATCTGAGCTTCTATCTTAAGAAGTTAGAAAAAGATGCCCTGGCTGGGTGGCTCAGTTCGTTGGAGCATCATCCCATGCACCAAAAAGTTGTGGGTTCGATTCCCGGTCAGGGCACATACCTAGGTTGCGGGTTTGATCCCTAATTGGGGTACATACGAGAGGCAACATATCAATGTTTCTCTCTTCCCCCTCTCCCTCCCTCTCAGGGCCCAGCAGAGTGTGAGGGACGTGTGGCAGGAGGGGGCTGGGCATAGTGGAGGAGCCCTCTGGATGGGAGTGTGCAGAGGGCACAAGCCTGCCCCTGCTGGGCCTAAGATTGACCAGCCAGGGAGGGGCCGTCTCTCTCCAGCCAGAAAGGTGTTCTAAGATGTCAAAGCGTCATCTACAGAAAACTGAGAGAACATACGATCCAGGGACATTCGGGGAGAGGTGTCCAATGTTCACTCTGAGGAGCCAGATGCCTGGGTGGGGCTTGTGAATCATTAACTTTCTTGGGGTGCAGAGGCATGGAGACACCTCTCCTAGGGGGGCAGGGAGTGAAGGAGAGCACCCAGGGTGGGAAAGGAGCATGAGGAAGGTGGGTCAGCCAGCAGGGAACCGAGCGCTGCACGTGACGTCCCTGCTGACGAGAGCCTGACCCGGAGGGGCGTGGGCAGAGCGGGAGTGGGGAAGAGCACCCTCTCCAGTGCAGGCCCTTATGGGGACGGACTCTGGGACCCTGTCGAGTTGCTGGGGGAAGTGACCCTCTGGTCTTTGCCGGTAGGTCTGTGGCCGTCACCATGTTCTGGAAGTTCGACTTGAACACCACGTCCCATGTCGACAAGCTGCTGGATAAGGAGGACGTGACGCTGCGGGAGTTAATGGACGAAGATGACATCTTGCAGGAGTGCAAGGCTCAGAACCGGAAGCTGCTGGACTTCCTGTGTCGGCCGCAGTGTATGGAGGAGCTGGTGAGCCTCATCACACAGGACCCGCCCCTGGACATGGACGAGAAGGTCCGCTTCAAGTATGTACCGGGCAGGGCCGCAGGGATGGCTTCCTGATGGACAAGTGAGGAGGCTGCTCCTGGGGGGTGACTTTGCATTCTGGGCTGTAGTCAGCCATACGGCGTGCTGGAGCCTGAGGGACAGTGTTGCCGGAGGACAGACCCCGGCAGAGCTGCAGGTGGCTGCACCGCCATAGGGGGCGGGCCCCGCCTGGTAAATGGCCACTCGGGAGACGGTGGACTTTGCTTCACTCTGGGTCCTGGGCTCAGCGGAATATGTCATTAGTGACCATTCTCAGTTTTTCCTAAAATGCCCCATTCTACAGTTGACCAGGATGTCAGAAGGAAGGGGTGTGGCGAGGGTTTGGCATAAGGACTGAGGAGTTTGAGGACAGGGACCTTGCGTGACAGGAAGGGCAGAGCGGATGCAGCCTTCGGCTCTGAGGGTGCCCACTGGGGCCTGAGCAGCTCGTCAGGACAGACGGGCAGCTGGACAGTGAGTGGTGGGAGGTCTTAGAACAGGGTCAGCAAACCACGGCCTGCAGGTCACATCCTGTTTTTGTGTGACTTGCAAGGTAAGAATGGGTCTGTATTTTTAAATGGTTGTTGCACGTGAAAATGATACCAAATTCCCATCTCATTCTTCACAAAGAAAGTCCTGTTGGAGCACAAGCACATGTAACCCGTTTGTGGTTACAAGGGCAGACCCGGTGGCTCAGCAGAGACTGCCCAGACTGTCCCTGCCTGGACAGGACTGTGCTGGCCCAGCCGGAGGGGGGCAGGGAGTGCCTGTGCTGGGCGAGGCGGTCCTTGGTGAGGCAGAGCTGATTCGTGGAGGAGCCGGGGCCTTGGCCCTAGGACCCTCTGAGGAAGGTCAGATAGAGACACTGTGCAGGGGATGCTCCTGCTCAGCGCGTGGGCTCAGCATCACCGTCACCACCATTCACAGCCCATCCCTTTACCCTCTCGCTCCCAATGTGTCCTGCTTGGTGACTGACTGTTCTGTGGTCTCCCTGTCTGGAGGGTGTTGGTGACAGGTCTGAGGGAGGAGAGCGGGGCTGGGCAGAGGGGTCCTGGAGTAGCATCCTGGGCCAGGGGAGTTTTCTAGCCCGAGTCTGGGAGAAATTAGTGACAGATAGTACAAAGCCAAGCAGACAGGGCAAGGAGGAACTGTTCGAGCTAGGGCAGTGGTTCCCAACCTTTTTTTGGCCACCCCCCCCCTAAGCATCTCTAAAATCCTGCTGCCCCCCCCCCCCCGCCCTGTGACATATAATTCTTATTTAAAAAGTGAACTCCTATTCACGTGGAGGAAGCCTAAAAACCCATTAACTTGGTTTAAACAGCTTCCAAAGAACATGGCATCCATGAAAGAGAAAAATGAACGGAAGGACAGTTGAAGTTCTGAGGAAGAAATCACTAAGAAATTGTTAAAAAATAATATGAAGTGATATGAAAAAATAGCAAATAAAGTCTCAAAACGTAATAGGGAACTGAAATGCATTATATGTCACATGTATATTTATAGACTGTATTTGAGGCCCCTAGAACCATAAGAAATGCAAAACATTCACTGTTAATAACTCATTCTCAAATTGCCCCCCTTAAAAATCAAATTGCCCCCCTGGGGGCCGTGTGCCCCACGTGGGGAACCTCTGCTCTAGGGGAAGGAAACCAGCAGGCAGGCAGTCACCCAGAGTGAGCAGGTGCCCAGCTGTAGACCCTACATGTTCCCGCCAAGGCAAGCCCTGGGGGTGGGGCTCTCACCCATTGTGCTCAGTACCCAGGGGCCCTTGCAGTCTGCAAATTCGTGGCCTTCGGCACAGGGAACTTCTTGTGTTATTTCTTCGATAACTTTCTCCCTTCCAGTTTTCCCTCTATTCTCTCTGGGACATCTAATTGGTGTTAGACCCCCCGAATTGATACTTCCTTCTTATTTTTTCTCTTAATGTCTTATCTTTGCCTTTGTTCTACACTTGAGAGTTTCTTCAAATTTTATCTTCCTCCCTTTTGTTGATTTTTAAGTTTTCTACTATCATTTTTAATTTCTCATATTATAAATACAAGCCTCTGGCCCTTTTAAAAAAATATTTTTATTGATTTCAGAGAGGAAGGGTAAGGGAGAGGGAGAGGGAGAGAGATAGAAACATCAATGATGAGAGAGAATCATGGATTGGCTGCCTCCTGCATGCCCCCCACTGGGGATCGAGCCTGCAATCCGGACATGTGCCTGGGACCTTTCAGTCCGCAGGCCGACGCTCTGTCCACTGAGCCACACCGGGTAGGACAAGCCTCCAATTCTTGTTCACGGATCCTGCCTGAGTGTGTAGTTTCTGGGCAGTTTCCTTCTGTTCTCCACACGCTCTCCCTGTTCTGCCCTGTTTTCTGGTGGTGGTTTGATCAGCACTGTGTTCCTTTGAAGAGGCACTACAGCCTGCACAGAGTGTGGGTCTGAGTGGGGCTGCTCACCCTGCCTTCCTGTGGGTGGCGGGTGCCCACACCAGGGGGACGACAGCTGGCTGGCATTTCTCTCCGTCCCATCAGTTTTCTCCAGAAAAAATCCCTCCAGCTCCTACCTGTGGGTGTCAACCTGTCATGCCCTGAGTCAGGAAGAGGGGCTGGGAGACCCCAGTGTTTTTTGTACCAGGCCTTGTTTGTGGTACAAGCGGCCTTGAGTCAGGAGCTTCGCTGGACCATGTTTTCCTGGGAAGAACCTCCGGGCCTGGGCGGCGGCAGTAGGGAGGGGCTGGAAGTGTCACTGCTCTGAGAGTTCCCTCCTCCCTGACCCGTGGCCTGGCTGCCACGCCTCTGTGACTAGCTGAGGCTCACATTTTATAAACTACTAATGCAGTTCTTTTCTTGAAGAATCGTATAAAATACTGATAAAGCCCAGCCGAGCGTCGACCAATGAACCAAGAGGTTACGATTCGATTCCTGGTCAGGGCACAAGCCTGGGTTGCAGGCTCGATCCCCAGTGTGGGGCTTGCAGGAGGCAGCCGATCTGTGATTCTCCTTATTGATGTTACTATCTCTCTCCCCCTCTCCCTTCCTCTCTGAAATCAATAAAAATATAATTAAAAATAAAAATAAAGTACTTATAAAAATCACAGTCCCTCCACCTCACCGTCCCTGAGCAGGTGAGGGTATTGTAGCTCAGCCTGCCCCACGTGTGAGTGGTGGCCTGTGCCACGCCAGCACGACCAAGGGTGATCCCGAGTGGAGGGGGGTGAAAGGATTAAGGAAAGACAGACAAGAGAATAATAGCTGGGTCTGGGTGGGACGCTGCTCCCTGATGAGGAGACAACAGCGCCCACAGCCGTGTCTTTATTTTATAGCAGATGCCACGAGGCAAAGTAGGGGCGTGATCAAGTTGTTTACAGCATTCTCGTGAGTTTCATCCTCACTTAACTACATGCACCTGAACTCTATCACAAGGCACGTGGAGCTACGTGTTCAGACCATAGGTTCAAGCTTACAACCACAGCCGTTGGCTATAATTGTGCTGGGAGGGCCTTGCCCTCCAGCTGGGACTTGCACGTGTCAGTAAGAGGACCCTGTCCTTTCATTAGTCCGAGGCTTGAACCTGGCCAAAACCCCGTAACCGCGCCCCACAGTGGCCTGTGTGTGCAGGGGGACTGGGGCCTTCCTGTTGGCTCTGGGAGAGCTTCCTGGAGGGAGATGTCTGCTTGCTGGGCCCAGTTCTGTCCTGCACTTGGTGCATCTTCTTGTTTGGAGACCGGTGGACACCTCTCTGCCGGCATGACGTGGGGCTTTGCTCTGGCCCAGGGCTGCTGACCTGGCCTCCTGCCCTGCACTCGAGCACGCCCTCTGACCTCTGCTCCTGGCAGCCGTGCGCTCTCCGCCATGCTGGTTATCACAGCTCACGCCTGCAGTGCTGAGCCACCTCCTCTGATCCTGGTCACAATCCCCAAGGTGGTCGCTGGCCACCCCTCCCTAGAACTGACCACACCTCTGTCTGAGCCCCCTCTCAAGCCGGGGCCTGCTTGTTAACTGCCCACGGCTGGGCTGCCTGCGGATCCGCAGGTCCCTCACACCTGCTGTGCACCCGGCACTGTTTCTGGGTTGAGGAGAAGCTGTCTCTGGGCCGATGAGGAACATGGCTCCACAGCCAGATTGAGGTCTCCACCAACTGTTTCCTCAAGAGCCTCAAACCCAGGACCCTCTCACTGATCCAGGGCCACCTGGGCTGGGGCCTGTGCTGGGGGGCTGTGCTGGGGTCTGTGCGGGGGGTAGGGGGAGGCTGTGCTGGGGCCTGTGCTGGGGCTGCCAGGAGCAGGGAGTCGCAGTGGCTGACTTGATGCTGCTTGGCTTTATGCACAGCCTTGTGGGAAGGTGGCCACTCACCTCGTGTGCAGACGAGGAAGCCCCGGCACAGAGATCAGGCCATGTGTCCCACGTGGTGCCAGGTGTATGCCGCCAGCCCACAGGATGCTCCCCCTGAGTCCCTGCCTCCTCTGGGCCAGGCATCGTCACCTGCGTTCCCCAGCTAAGGCCCTGGGTCACAGGCTCAGTCCTGGATGAGCAGATGTTGGGTGGGTGTGCCTGGCCCAGGGGTCTCCCACAGGAAGGCAGGGCACTCAGTGATGTCATGGGATTACTCGGAATGAGGTGAGGATTATTTCGTATCTGGTCACTTTTATCAAATGCATAGGACATAGTTCATGTATATCGGTGGTATTCCTGGTGATATTGTGCTTTGCCTCCTCATAACCAGGACATCACTGTAAGCTTCAGTCCAGGGCAGACGGGACCGTGCTTGTGGATGCACAGGGACAGGAAGGGCAGGGAGAGGGAGGGAGGACAGCATGTCTCCGTAGCTGTGATGGTGACAGGAGGTGAGAGAGCTGCAGGTGAGCTCGAGAGCAGAGCCTGGAGAGAGTGCAGGGTACGAGGTCCAGCAGGTGGTGGTTACAGATGTGGCCTTCCAGTAGTCCGACAGAAGTGCCGGTCATCTGAGGCCTAGTGCACTTTTGTTCTGGTCAGAGGTTTGTCAATGTTTCCCTCTTGCCCGTGGATCTGCACCCTAAGGGCAGATTATTTAAGCTGTTTCCCGAGAGTTGGAGAAGTCTAATTTCACCTCCAGTTGCTGGCGTTGTGCCCTGTAGGTACCCAAACACGGCCTGTGAGCTGCTGACGTGCGATGTGCCGCAGATCAACGACAGGCTGGGTGGGGACGAGGCTCTGCTGAACCTCCTCTACGACTTCCTGGACCACGAGCCGCCTCTCAATCCTCTGCTCGCTAGTTTTTTCAGCAAGACCATTGGCAGTCTCATCGCAAGGAAGACGGAACAGGTAAAACGCCTGCCATGCCCGTGTGGTCGGGGTGGTTGGCCTGGAGGATGCCCACACAGCTCGCTGCCAGCCATCGCGGCGCGACCGTGTCAGCAGGCAGGGGAACAGTGCTCCTGGCTGTGTCGTGGGACTCAGGGGAGCAGTGTGGGCGGCTGATCTGTGAGTTGGAGTTTGACTAAGAAGGTGGCTTCCCAAGAAGTATTTCTGCTGCCGGCTCTGGAATCGCAGTGCTTCCCACCACCCCTGGGAACCACACAGGACGCCAGTCACAGGCGTGAGGCTCGGGACATACCACGTCCTGGCAGGATTGTGGCTGTCCGTCTTTTTTTTTTTTTTAATTAAATCTTTATTGTTCAGATTATTACAGTTGTTCCTCTTTTTTCCCCCCATAGCTCCCCTCCACCCAGTTCCCACCCCACCTTCTGCCCTTACCCCTGCCATTGTCCTCATCCATAGGTGTATGATTTTTGTCCAGTCTCTTCCCGAACCCCCCACACCCCTTCCCCCCTGAGAATTGTCAGTCCACTCCCTTTCTATGTCCCTGATTCTATTATATTCACCAGTTTATTCTGTTCATCAAATTATTTATCTTCTTAAAGGATACCTTTCAGCATTTCATATAATACTGGTTTGGTGGTGATGAACTCCTTTAGCCTTTTCTTATCTGTGAAGCTCTTTATCTGACCTTCAATTCTGAATGATAGCTTTGCTGGATAAAGTAATCTTGGTTGTAGGTTCTTGGTATTCATCACTTTGAATATTTCTTGCCACTCCCTTCTGGCCTGCAAAGTTTCTGTTGAGAAATCAGCTGACAGTCATATGGGTACTCTCTTGTAGGTAACTGATTGTCTTTCTCTTGCTGCTTTTAGGATACTCTCTTTGTCTTTTGCTCTTGGCATTTTAATTATGATGTGTCTTGGTGTGGTCCTCTTTGGATTCCTTTTGTTTGGGGTTCTCTGAGCATCCTGGACTTGTAAGTCTATTTCTTTCACCAGGCAGGGGAAGTTTTCTGTCATTATTTCTTCAAATAGGTTTTCAATATCTTGCTCTCTCTCTTCTTCTGGCACCCCTATAATTCGGATGTTGGTACGCTTGAAGTTGTCCCAGAGGCTCCTTACACTATCTTCATATTTTTGGATTCTTTTTTCTTTTTGTTTTTCCGGTTGGGCATTTTTTGCTTCTTCGTATTTCAAATCTTTGACTTGGTTCTTGCGCTCCTCTGGTCTGCTGTTGGGTGTCTGTATAATATTCTTTATTTCAGTCAGTATATGCTTAATTTCTAGTTGGTCCTTTTTCATATCCTCGAGGGTCTCACTAAATTTATCGGCGGTTTCTAGAAAATTCTTGAAAAACCTTATAACCGTGGTTTTGAACGCTATACCCAGTCGTTTGCTTTCCTCCATTTCTGTCATTTGTGACCTGTTTCTTTGTCTCCGCATTTTGGCTGCTTCCCTGTGTTGATAGAGTGGTTTTGTGTGCTAGGTGTCCTATAGGGCCCAGTGGCTCAGCCTCCCCAATTACCTGAGGTGGACACTCTTGGTGCACCCCTTTGTGGGCTTTGTGCACAGTCTTGTTGTAGTTAAGCTTTGATTGTTGTAGGTATCACTGGGAGGAATTGACCTCCAGGCCAATTGGCTGTGAGAATCAGCTGTGGTTATGGTGGGAGAACTTCTGTGCTGGAGACACCCTTCTGGGGCAAGACTTGCTTCAGTGGGGCTTTGGTGCTCACTGAGTCTGCCCCCTGAGTGTGTTCCTTATGGATCTGAGGAGTTGTAATCTGGATGGTCCACTCTGACCACTGGGTACACTGGCTCTTGGATCTCTAATGAGGTGCTAATTTAGCCTCTGCCTGAGGCTACCCAGCAGGAGCTATGGAGAGATCTGCAGATTCCTCTTCTTTGTTTGGAGTTTGGAGGTGCCCCGATGAGGCCCAGCTGTGAAGCAATGCAAGCTGCTGTGGGGCCTTGGGCCTTCTTTTTGGATGTTCTGGGTCTCTCTGACCCAGCTGCAGTTAGTTAGGTAATTTTAGATTGCAAAGGGCCAGGGCATTCATATGCAAAAGCCTCTGGGCACAGTTTGGGTGGGGCGGGGTCTCAGGGAATCAACAGGGCGGAGCAAACAGCTATGGCTGATCCTCAGTCCTACCCTAAGAGGACCGGGGTCTCACTGTTCCGCGGTGATCGCTGCAAGCACCTCTGAGAGAAAGCTGCCCTCGAGTTCTGCCCGATGCCAGACAGTCCAGTTTCTCTCCCTATGAGTCTGGGTCCCCAGAGACTCGCCCAGAACTGGCGTTCAGAGCAGTCGGGAGCTTGTGACTCCCTCCCAATTGAAAAAGACAGCTGCGTCCTCAGTTGCCAGCCCTTTCCACGTGCGCCTCTGTACCTCTGCACTTTACTTCCACACCGCACCTCCTCTGAGTCTCAGTGTGCTTTTCTCTTTCCTTCTAGTTGTAGAATTTCCACTCAGCCAGCCTTCCTGTGGTTCTGGATGATGTCCGTTTTGTCTTTTAGTTGTATTTTTGAAGTGGTTGTGCGAGGCAGCAATTTCCGGTGTTTACCTATGCCGCCATCTTGGTTTCAGTCAGCTGTTCGTCTTTGAAGGCATGTTGCTCCATCTGTGTGGTGGTCAGTGACTATGTCTAGGGCACTTACTGTTTTAAAGCAAATTAAAAAATCTTCTGGTAATCAGCTTCTGTGAAATAGTGACTCCTTTTCACCCAGCTGAGCGTGTCTTCCTGGAGTCCGTGATGCTTGTCTCACATCCAGCAGACACCTGCTTCAGTGCCTCCCCCTCCGCAGACAGAGCAGACGAGAGCCTTGACCTGCAGCACAGCTGCAGAGCAGGCTTTCTCTCATCCCTGGCCCCGCCCAGCATCCCCGGGGCCTGTTTCAGAACAGTTCCCAGTTAGCATTTCATTCCTGTAAATACATCTCTAAAATGTAAGGACGTTTTGAATATAGCTTCAGGAGGGACAAGACTTTGCTGAGCAGATCCCACGATCACACCCCACAACTGCTAACCATGATTGTTTGGTGTCATCACGTACGAGGCAGGGAACAGACCCATATGCTGTGTCTGCCTGGAGCTCTGAGAGGAGCAGCCCCGGCAGAGCAGGTGGGCGGGAGAGACCCTGTGGCATGTGGAGTCTTCAGTGGACTGCCCCCTTCATGGGGTTGTAAATCGGAGATTTGCAGGGGACCTCAGGGGACTGTCTCACCTCAGGTGCTTTTTGGAAACTGGCGGAGGATGAGTGAAGACGGGGGTGCTGGTGCCGTGGTGCAGCAGTGAGTCTCGGTCCCGGGAGGAGCGGTGCTGCTGGTGGGGCTGGCGCTGGCACGGAGGGCAGGCCGGGGTTCACAGACGTCCTGCCCGCCTTCCGGCCCAGTGCCTGCACACATGTGTTCACCTTCCAGACACTGTCTGAATTTCCCTGCTGCTTATAACACTTCCGTCTTCTTCCCTTACCAGTAGTATGGACTGCAATCTTAAAAAATATTTTTTCTACTGACAAAGGTAACACATTTATATGAAATTCAAATAAGACAGAAATACAGAAAACAGTCTTATGTAACACTCCAGAGGTAACCACTGTTGATTTATAATTTAACATTTTTTCACATTATGTGCCCAGCACCCAAACTCAGATCATCTTCCATCACCTTTACACCCCTACCCCTTCCCACTGATGACCACCATACTGTTGTCTGTGTTTATGAGTTTGCTCTACATCCCACATCATGAGAGAAGTCATATGGTTCTTAGCTTTTACTGACTGGTTTCGCTAGCACAATATTCTGAAGGTTCATTCATGTTGTTGCAAATGGTAGTATTTCATCTTTTCTTATGGCTGAGTAATACTCCATCGTATATGTGCCACAGCCTCTTTATCCAGTCCTCTATCCAAGGACACTTCTGTTTCCATGTCTTGGGCACTGTGAATAATGCTGTCATGAACATAGGGCTGCATATCTCTTTGCGAAGAAATGTTTCAAGTTTTTCAGGTAGATACCCAGAAGAGGGATTGCTGGGTCATATGGTAACTCTATTCTTTTTTATTTTAATTATTTTTTAAATCCTCACCTGAGGATATTTTTTCCATTGCTTTTCAGAGAGGGAGGGAGGGAAGGAGAGAGAGAGGAAAAAAAACATCAATGTGAGAGAGACACCACCTCCCGCACATGCCTTGACTTGGGGCTGGGGGCGAACCTGCAACCCAGGTATGTGTCCGTGACCGGGAATCAAGCCGACAATCCTTTGGTGTGAGGGCCGACACTCTAACCATTGTGCAATACCAGCCAGGGCGGTAACTCTATTCTTAATTTTTTTTAGGAACCTCCATAGTGGCTGCACCAATTTACATTCCACCCAAAAGAGTTTCATTTTCTTCACAACCTCTCCAACACTTGTTATTACTTGTCCTGTTGAGAAAAGCCATTCTAACAGGTGTATCTCATTGTAGGTTTCATTTGCATTTCCCTAATAGCTAGTGAAGTTGAGCATCTTTTCATATATTTGTTGGCTATTTGTATGTCTTCTTGGGAGAAGTGTGTGTTCAAGTCCTCTGCTCATATTTTTAAAAATATATTTTATTGATTTTTTTTACAGAGAGGAAGGAAGAGGGATAGAGAGTTAGAAACATCGATGAGAGAGAAACATCTATCAGCTGCCTCCTGCACACCCCCTACTGGGGATGTGCCTGCAACCAAGGTACATGCCCTTGACCGGAATCGAACCTGGGACCCTTCAGTCCGCAGGCCGACGCTCTATCCACTGAGCCAAACCAGTTAGGGCCCTCTGCTCATTTTTTAATTGGTTTGATCCCCAGTCGGGGTGCATACGGGAGGCAATTGAGCGATATTTCTCACATTGATGTTTCTCTCTCTCTCTCTCTCTCTCTTTCTCTTTCTCTCTCCCAATATCAATAAAAACATATCCAGGGGTGAGGATTAAAAAAAAAAAGTTCTACTGGAGAGCATTATGCTAAGTGAAATAAGCCAGTCAATGAAGGAAAAATACCACATGATCTCACTCATTCATGGATAATAAAGACCATTACAAACTTTTGAACAATAATAGATACAGAGGCAGAGCTGCCTCAAACTGATTGTCAAACTGCAGTGGGAAGGCCAGAGAGGGTTGGGGGGCAGAAGGGAGGGGAGTAAGAGATCAACCGAAGGACTTGTATGCATGCATATAAGCATAACTAATGGACATAAGACACTGGGGGGTAAGGGAGGGCAGGGGATTGTCAAGGGCGGGGGGAAAAAGGACACATATGTAATACCCTTTGTAATACTTATTATAATATTTCTTTAAAAAGAATAATAAAAAAAATAAATAAAAAAAAATAAAATATATTTGCAAATGGCAAAAAAAAAAAAAAAAAGTTCTATGCATTTTATTACCTGTGTAGGGTTGTGTCTCCACCATCACAGTCAAGTACCGAACAGTTCCAAAACCACCAGGGTCCTTGGTGTGGCCCTTTTAACTGCTCCCACCTTTCTCCTGCCCGTACCCCGTCACTCATCCCCAACCCCTGGCAACCAGTGATCAGTTTCTATTTCTAAAATTGTGTTATTTCAAAACGTTCAGTTAAACCATATAATACATAGCCTTTGGGAATTAGCCTTTTTTCTTTTTCAGCATAATTCCCTGTAGCGTCCTCCAAGTTGTGTGTTTCACTAGTACAGTAGTGTGCTCCTTTTTCTTGCAGGGTAGTGTGCTATGGCATATGCACACCACAGTCTGTTTATCTCGGCTGATTTCCGAATCTCGGTAGTGATGTCCCTCGTGTCATTCCCAATAATCTTTCTCTAGGAGCTTAATCGCTTCAAAGAGCCCTCCTCCCACCTCTTCCTCTCCTCTTTGTCCTGTGCCCCCCTCTCCCTCTTTCTCCTCTGTTCCTCCTCCTCCCCTTCCTCCAGCTCAGAGTGTGGCTGACCTGCCCCAGCGGGGGCTTCTTCTCGGAGTCCCATTGTTCCCAGTGGAGCCCTGGGTCTGCCCAGCACAGTGACCTGCAGACACACAGCCAAGAGGGACTCTGCCCAGACTGCTTCCTTCCCCTGCTCGCTCACCTGCAGCCCCCGCTGAGCAGCCCACCCAGTGCTGGCTGCTGCGCCCCTCTCCCCCGGTGGTTTCATGCTTCATGCTTAGCTGTTCTCATGTTGTTGACGTGGTCACCAGCCAGCGCACATCCCTGCCTCTTCCTTTCTGAAGCCTTGGACCTGGCTCCCTTCCCCCACACACGGGCCTGTGGTGACTGGCCGGCTCGTGTGCTCTGTGCTCTCCAGGTCGGCGTCCTGGCAGCTCATTCTGTTGAAGAAACTTGAGCCAGCGGGTCCCGAGTGGCTGCTGTGCACAGGCTGCTGTGTGGTCTCACGCGGGCATTGGTGTCATGTTCCCATGGAGGCTCACCTGCAAGCAAACCTGTTGTCCTGCCCCCCGCCCCCCACCTGTAGGACGGACTTCCTGTGTTCAGGTCTCTGCTGTCCTTGCAGAGGCTTTCTCACAGCTTTTTAGGTCTTCCCATGTTTCTGCTCGGCATGATGGGAAAGTCACCTTTCTCATGAGTGATCTCCCTCCAGGGGCATCTCATGGTGCGGGGCTGGCCCACTTGCTTACCAGGGTGTTTGGCTTCAGGTGATTGTGTTCCTGAAGAGGAAGGACACGTTCATCAGCCTGGTCCTGAAGCACATTGGCACCTCGGCCCTCATGGACCTGCTGCTTCGCCTGGTCAGCTGCGTGGAGCCTGCTGGGCTCCGGCAGGAAGTCCTGCGGGTGAGTGTGTGGGCCCCGCTCTCTGGTGTGCCTGCAGATTCGCGATGGTGGTCACAGCCTGCACAGCAGGCTGGACCGAGTGAAGGGGCTCCGCACTGACGTGCCGGGCACTCCCCGCTTCCCACGCCGCTCGCTCGGGGCCTCCCTCTGGGGCCGTTGGGCTCTTGTCAGGGCTGGGCTGGACTCTGCACCCTTTCCATTGTCCTTTCTCCGTCCGTCAGAAGCAAGAGCAGCACGTTCCTTCTCCCCCCACTCCGCTGCCTCTGCTTTCCTCACCGCCCCGCCCCGCCCCATGGTCAGGCAGGAGCTCCGGGCGGCTCTGTGCCCTGCAGACTTGAGGAAGGCAGAGCAGACGGACTCCATGCAGGGAAAGGGCAGAGACCACAGGGCCTGTTGCTTGTCCTACAGTGTGTGCCCGGTCTGTCCTGATGGTGCTTACGGCCGTAGCTCCCTGAGGGCTTTCCCAGAAAGGGGGCCGGGGAGGGCTTCTAACCCAGAGAGGCAGGAGGTCAGTGCTGGCAGCCTGTCCCTGGTGCTTGGTGGGGTTTGGTTGCCGTGCAGTTTAAAGTAGACTAAACCATTGGTCCTCCTTGCTCACTTCCCAGCCCCTGGAATCGGGTGGGTGGCAGTGCTCATCAAAGTGGCAGGGCTCAGTCCTAGGCTAATGGTCCGTCCCTCGGTGAGCCTCCCACTAAGACCAGTCACAGCCCACGCCCCCAGCGGGCGCAGCATCGCATCTGCTCTTCAAGCTGGAGGGAAGGCTGCCCTGCCCTCACCATCTGGGTGAGGAGGTGTGGGGGGATCTGGGCGTGACCCAGGCTGCCCGGCCACCTTGCCCTTGAACCCCCGAGTGTCCAGCACGTCAGCCCTGGCGGGACTCCTGCGGCCTCACCAGGCAGGGTCTTGGTGGTTCTGATCTTGGAAAGGGCCGGTGCTGTAGGAGCAGAGTCCGAGCCCTGGCCGGGCGCGTCTTCCTGCACACCCAAGGGTCATGGGCTCCATTCCGGGTCAGGCTCCTACCCAGGTTGTGGGTTCGATCCTCCGTCGGGGCATGTACGGGAGGCAATCGATCGATGTTTCTCTCTCTCTCCGTTTCTTCCTTGCTCTCCTAAAAATAAAAATAAAGACATATCCTTGGATGAGGATAAAAAAAAAAAACAGCAGCTGCGCTGGGCCAGCACTGGGAGAGCTGGTGCTCAGGTGGGCTCCTCAGGCAGAGCTGGTGTGTGCTTGAGTCCACCCCGTTAGGACACAGACGGTGCTTCCTCCCCTATGAACATCAGGTCACTGCCTGTTCTCTCTGGGCCTGGGGGCACGTGTTGGGCAAAGAGCCTGTGCCCCGGAACCTGGTGGGCGGTGCTCTGTGCACGGAAGGCGTTTCCGTGTGGCTAGATGTGAGCAGAGCCATCACAGCCTCCTTTCCCTTCCAGTGGCTCAATGAAGAGAGGATCATCCAGAGACTCGTGGAATTGATCCACCCCAGGGAGGATGAAGATGTGAGTACACGTGCACGCCTCAGAGCCCACCTCGCCAGGAGCCCCTCACTGGGCCATTGGGCAGCGCCCGCTGCTGCGTCCGAGGGGCACGGCAGCCTTTCCTCCCAGGAGGACCAGGGCACACACCTCGTCCTGTTGAGCACTGACTCAGAGACTTCTTTACTGACGAGTAATGCACACGTACTATGCAGAGCAGCTCGCACAGAATTGTGTTAGTTTTCTATGCTTGAGTAACAAATTGCCCCAAAACTTACTTGCTTATAACAACAAGTATTTTTTATCAGTTTCTGTGGGTCAGTGATGTGGACACAGCCTAGCAGGTCCTCTGCCCATGGTCACTCAGGGCTCAACTGGGGGAGGCGGGTTTGCTTCCAGGGTCACCAGTGCCTCGGTCACTGGACTGTCTGCAGGACTCAGGTCCTTGAGGGCGACTGGCCGGGCCAGCCTCAGCCCCAGGCCCTGGGGCCTCTCCACAGGGCAGCCCGCAGTGTGGCTCGGCTTCCCTTGGGGAGAGCAGGCGGGGGCGGCTCCTGCAGGCTCTCCTCGGAGCGCGAGGCTCTGCTGTGCTCTGCTCCCTGCAGGGGAGTGACTGGTTCTGGCCGTGCTCTGGCCGGAAGGTCCCCTGCCAGGGAGAAGCATGGGGTGCCAGTGGGCTCCCTCCCTCCCCGTGGTAACCACTGGGAGCGGGCGGGGTGCTTCCTGAGGGGCCCTTTCTCCACGTGACGAGGCCCGCGCTTCCTCAGCAGCTCTGAGAGCCTCAGCTGCTTCCAGGCCACTCTGCTCTTGGTCCCTCATCCCCCCAAGGTGTCTGTGCCGATGCCCCATGAGCGTGAGCGTGGGGGGCTGACAGGCCTGTCCACGGGCCACAGGCAGGTGCGAGGCCACAGAGCCAACCTGGCTGCTTCTGTTTCTCCCTAAGATGGTGCAAGCCCGTCCTTTAGCCACGTGTCCTGATGCCTCGACAAGGGGCCAGGGCTGCATGACTAACCGTGTCCACGGCCCCGAGGAAACCCCTGTGGTCCGCAAGGGCCCTGGGCAGCTCTACGTTTCCATGGGGTCCGATTCCCTCAAGCACGGCGTCCTTTGTCGTCTGTGTTTTCACAGGACCCCTTCTGAGTACCAGAAGCTCCTTTTAGTTTAAAATGCAGTATCAGTGAGGTGGTCACCTACGCAGTGTAGCTCAACATGGGTCCGAGGGGCAGTCGTCCCTGCGAGCCAGTGGAGCATTGAGAGCCCTGGAACTTGACAGTCCAGTGCGCCTTGACAGTGGGAGCAGAGCAGACCCCTCGGGAATGACCTGGTTTAGGGGTGTCCCAGCTCCCAGAAGACGAGCAGCGGGGCTCTGTCCGCTGGCCGGTGCTGACACGTCCCCTGGCCCTGACGGAGCGCCATGTCCCTGTCTTTGCAGAGGCAGTCCAACGCTTCCCAGACGCTCTGTGACATTGTCCGGCTGGGCAGGGAGCAGGGCAGCCAGCTGCCCGAGGCCCTGGAGCCGGACCCCCTCCTCGCAGTGCTGGAGTCGTGAGTGCTGCGGGCTAGTGGGGTGCTGGCGGGTGCCGGTGGGTGGGGTCTCTGAGTTGGGAGCGCGTCTCCAAGCTGGCCCTGTAAACCGCAGACAGCCACTCCCTCTGGTTCGGACTCTGAGCTGGCTGTGAAGTGCTCACCCGGACCCAGAGCTAATTTGAGGGGCCTGTTTCCCATGGGAGGTCTCCAGGCAGGTCCCCCGAGTGCAGGCCAGCAGGGGCGCACCCCCACGGGAGGCAGGGGAGGGAGGCGTGCTCTGTCTGCTCTGCTCCAGGCAGTGACCGTGTGTGACAGGCAGGACTGCGTGGAGCAGCTTCTGAGGAACATGTTTGACGGGGACCAGACGGAGAGCTGCCTCGTCAGCGGGACGCAGGTGCTGCTGACCTTGCTGGAAGCCAGGCGGGCTGGGTGAGTGCCTCGTGGGGAGGGCATCGCCCGGCGCTGGGCACCACCCTTCACGGCCGGCGGCTGAGTATGGGCCGTCACCTGGGAAAGTGCTCTCAAGGCCTCAGGCGCCCTCCTCTCTGTAAGTCACCAAACCTCTTGGGATGAGGGGGGCGTTGGGCAGGGGAGGGAGATGCCACGGAGGCCTGGGCTGTCCCCGTCTCCATCTGCTTCCTCATCCACAGGACAGAGGGCCTGGTGGACACCTATTCTCAGGGACTGGAGAGGCTGTGCCCCGTCAGTGGCAGCGTCCTGCACGGCATTGAGCCGAGGCTGAAGGACTTTCACCAGCTCCTGCTCCACCCGCCAAAGGTACCGGACCGCAGACAGCAAAGCGCCCCACGGTGTATGCGGACGCGTGGACACACTCGTGCTGCTGTTCCCTGACCCGACTTGAGAACCAGGCCGATGCCATGGCCTGTGTCAGACCCCCTGCTGCATGTCCATCTGCACTGGGGCCTGGTGGGGGGCATTTGCAGCCCCCAGATGACTTGCATTCTGAGAGCCCACGCTCACCGTCTGCCTGGCCTCTGAGTCGGGGCACCAGCCAAGGGCCAGGGGTCCCAGAGGAGGCCCCGTGCTCAGCTCAGCAGCTCTAGGGGGTGCTGGGGTCACGCTGAGGAGGCTCGCCCTCTCACCGCCCCCCAGGCTGCCTCCCCCACCAGAAAGTAAGCTTCACAAAGGTAGAGATTCTGGAACGTTCTGTTAACAAAAAGGTGGCTACGTGATGCTGCATGTGCGGGATCAGAGAAGACCCGCGTGTAGTCTAAGAGTTTCCAGGTGGCCCTGGGAGCGCTGGTCCTGCCTCGGCACAGATCTCTCACTCCAGGGTGCTCCCCCCTGTGGCTGGGTGAGCCTCTGGGTGCAGACCCCGCACTCACTCTGATGCCTCCTTCCCTCTCGCAGGCAGTGCTGCCTCGAGGAAGGCCCCCTCCCCGCCTCCCCGAGCTGTGCCACAGCGTGGACCCCAGCCGGGCCCTTGAGCAGTGGTCACGCTGGGCTGCCAGGGTCAGTGAGTGGTGCTCTGTGTTTACAGAAAGCCGCAATCCTGACCACCATCGGCGTGCTGGAGGAGCCCCTCGGGAACGCCGGCCCCCCCCCCCCCCCCCCCCCCCGCCTCATGGCTGCCCTGCTGCACACCAACACGCCCAGCATCAACCAGGAGCTCTGCCGGCTCAACACCATGGGCTTGCTGCTGGTGAGGGTCCACTGCCTCCCCCCTCCCCCACGCGGCCGTGGGCAGGCCAGGCAGGTGCCCAGGGCAGGCCCAGCGGGCAGGCATCTGGACCTCAGCCCTGGGGGTGGGCCTGTCCTCGGGAAGCTCTGGTTGGTCCTGAGACAGGCCCAGGCTGACCACAGCCTGAGTGAAGGTGGGACAGCCCGGCCGCCTTGGTGCAGCTCGAGGAGATTGCCCTGCGAGCAGAGGCAGGTGTCTGTCTGTCTGAGGGAGGGGCAATGAGGTCACGCCCTTCCAGACCTGCCTCATGGAGGACTTGGGTTTTAGCCCTTCAGCACAGAGCACCTTCGAGGAGCAGCTGCTCGCTCTCCACAGGGCACCCAGCACTTCCCGTCAGAGCCAGTGGGGGTGCCTCCACTCAGTGCCTGGAGGACGCCTGGGTGTCTGAGGAGAGGGCCCGCCAGGCAGAAGGGGGTGCTGAGGGGAGGGGCATGGCTCTGAGGGGGCACCACAGGCAGATGCAGTCCCCAGGCTTCTCAGGGGCCTTGCCCTTGGGCCTCTGCTCTCAGAAGGAGCCAGCCTTGGAGCTGGGCCTGGAGTACTGGCCTCTACAGGTTCTTCCAGATTTGGAAACCCCAGTGGGTTATGAAGGACTTGTCTTTTCCTTTCTCTCTCTCTCTCTCTCTCTCTCTTTTTTTTTTTTTAGCTTTATGTCTTTTTTTATTGATTAAGTTATTACATATGTGTCCTTATCCCCACATTGCCCCCCATTTGTCTGTGTCCATTGGTTAGGCCTATATGCATGCATATAAGTCCTTTGGTTGATCTCTCCCCCTTACCCCCACCCTCCCCTACCTTCCCTCTGAGGTTTGACGGTCTGATTGATGCTTCTCTGTCTCTGGATTTGTTTTTGTTCATCAGTTTATGTTCTTTATATTCCACAAATGAGTGAGATCATGTGATATTTATCTTTCTCTGACTGGCTTACTTCACTTAGTCCTTTTCCTCTCTTAAAAATTGTTTTCTCTTTTCCACCCTCTTTTTATGTTTACTGTGGTAAAAAAATACGTAACATAAAATTTACCGGCTTAATAATTTTAAGGGTTCAATTAGTTCAGTAGCATTAAGTACATTCACAGTTTATATAACGACTCCACTGTCTATTTGCAGAACTTTTTTATCTTCAAACAGAAACACTGACCATTAGGCAGTCAGTCCCCATGCCTCCCACACCCCCTCTTCCCCCACCCTACTTTTTGCCTCTGAGTTTGGCTGCTGTGGGGCCTCATGTACGTGGCATCACACCGTGTTTGGCCTTTTGTGTGTTGCTTGTTTCACTGAGCACATTGTCTTCAAGGTTCATTCATCCCTGTGGCGGCCGGTGTCAGAATGTCCTTCTTTATGGCTGAATCACCTTCCATTGTAGAGGAAGACACACTTTGTCCATTCCTTAGTTGATGGATGTGTGGGTTGCTTTCCCCTTTGGCTGTTTTATTTATTTTTATTGACTTTAGAGAAAGGAAGGGAGAGGAAGAGAGAGAAACATCAATCATGAGAGAGAATCGTCATTGATTGGCTGCCTCCTGCACGACCCCTACTGGGGATCAAGTCCGCAGCCCAGGCATGTGCCCGTGACCAGAATCTAACCCAGGACCCTTCAGTTCCCAGGCCGACGCTCTAGCCACTGAGCCACACCAGCTAGGGCCCCTTTGGCTGTTTTGAATGATGCTGCTATAAACATGGATGTGCAGATTCCTGTTTGAGTCCAGCTTTCCCTTCTGGTGAACATGTGCCCAGAAGTGGGGTTGATGGGTCACGTAGTCGTTCTGTGGCCAGCGTTCCGAGGAAGCAGCGGTTTTCCACAGTGGCTGCGCCGCTTTCCTTCCTGCGAGCAGTGTAGGAGGGTTCTCGCGTCCACATCCTCGCCAAACGTGTTTTCGTTTTTCTGTAAAGATGGCCGTCGTCATGGTTTGAAGTGGTCTCGTGGTGGTTTGATCTGCATTTCCCTAATGGTTGGTGATGCCAAGCACCTTTTCGTGTGGTTTGTTCGCCGTTTGTGTATTTCCTTTGAACAGCTGTCCAAGTCCTTTGCCCATTGTTGAGTCAGGTGGACCTGTGGGTCACGAACAATGAAAATACATCCTGCATATCAGATATTTACATGACGATTCATAACAGTAGCAAAATTGCAGTTATGAAGCAGCAACGAAAATCATTCTATGGTTGGGGGTCACCACAATATGAGGAACTGTATTAAAGGGTCGCGGCATTAGGAAGGTTGAGAACCACTGGTTTATAGTGTCCTTTGACACACACAGGTTTTTAATTTTAATGAAGTTCAATTTCTCTGTTGGTGTCATATCCAAGAAATCATTGCCAAATCCACTGTCATGCAACTGACCCCTTTGTTTTTTTTCTATAATTTTAGCTCTGTCAGGTCTTCGATCCATTTTGAATTAGTTTGTAAATGTAGCACATGGTGAGGGTTCCACTTCATTCCACTGCCTGTGGATGTCCAGTTCCCCAGCACCATGTGTGGAAAAGACTGTCCTTTCCCCATTGACTGGTTTGGCATCCTGCTGGGACTCAGTGGGCCATGTACGTGAGAGTTTATTTCTTGACTCTCAACTCTCTTGCCTTGGTCTCCATGTCTGTCCTCACACCAGGACTACACGCTGCTGATTACTATCATTTTGTAGTAAGTTTTGAAATGAAGTGTGAGCCCAACTTTTTTTGGGGAGGTCAAGATTTTCCTTTGGGGATCCCTTGTGATTCCCTATGAATCTTAGGATGGGTTTTTCTATTTCTACAAAAAAAAAAACCAAGCCATTGAGTGGAATCTTGAAGAGACTGTAGTGTCCGTGGGTCACTTGGTGGTGGCGTCCGCTTCACAGACCCGTCTTCCCGCCTGAGCCTGGTGCTTCTCGGGGACTCGGGTCGTCTTTGCTCCCGTCGCCGGCCGGTGCTGCAGTTTCAGCGTGCACGGCTCTCACCTCCTGGGTTCATTCATTCCTAAGTGTTTTCTGTTTTTTGGATACTAATGTAAATGGAGTTATTTTCTTAAAAACTTTTTTGGATTGTTAGTGTATAGAAATGCAGCTGGTTTTTGTGTGTTTTGTATTTGGAACTTGTTTATTAGGTCTAACAGTTTCTGTGAAATGTGTAGAGTTTTCTTCATATTAGATCATGTCATCTGTGAAAAGAGATAATTCAGCTTCTTCCTTTCCAACTTGGACACTTTTTCTATCTCTCTCTTCCCTCGTTGCTCCGCTAGGACTTCGTACGGTGCTGAGCAGAAGTGGCGGAAGCAGGCTGCAGGCCCTGTCCTGACTGTAGAGGAGAAGCCTGCAGCCTGTCGCCAGTTAGCATGTGTTTGCTGTGGGCTTGTCCTGGGGCCCTTTGTCGTGTTGAGCAGGTTTCCTTCTGTTCCTAGTGTATTCAGTGTTTTTATTTTTGAGAATTGTTGAGCTTGGTCATCAGCTGAGATGATTATATGGTTTTCGTCCTTTGGGCAGTAGACACTGACCATCATGATTGATTGATTTACATATTGAATCATCCTGGCATCCAGGAATAAAACCCACACTGTCACGGTGTGTAATCTGTTTAATGTGCTGCTGAATTTTGCTGATATTTTGTTGAGGATTTTTGTGCACATCCTGCCCCGCTGTACCTTCCCTCCCTCTGTGTAGGCAGCAGAGTCTAGGATGTAGGCTGCTGTGGCCTCTGCTCTGTGTGAGGTGCCAGGGGGGTGCAGACAGGTGAACCTCGCCGCCTCGCTGTGGCCTCCTCACCTGTAAGGGTCCGAGATTCAGGGGCAGCGGTGCTTGTTCCCCGCCCCGCCCCGCCTGGAAGAGGCCGGAGCGTCAGCTGGTGAAGCTCCGGCTGGGCCCCTCTGGGTTCCTGTGGGCGTGTCCGTACCTGCACCTCCTCGTGTGACTTCCCTTCTGGGTGTTTGCGAATTTAACACACTTCCACTGGCTCACGGGTCAAGACACAATCCTAAAGGAAGAATAGGAATCCTACATAATAGAATGTGTAGAATGTAGCTAACAGGGATCTTACTAGGAAATACACAGCCTTTTAAAAACACACTGATAGAGAGGCTCCAGGTGAGTTAAGCTTCTGATTGGAGACAGAAAGAATGGCCGTCGGGCATGTTCAGATGAGAGCTGAGCGCGGGCTCTGCAGAGGTTTCTCACAGGGAGGCTCTCGGGCGCTGCCTCGCGCCTGCCGCCTGCCGCCTGCCACGGCCTCTCCCTGCCTGTCCCCAGGACCTGTTTTTCAAGTACACCTGGAATAACTTCCTGCACCTCCAAGTGGAACTGTGCGTGGCCGCGATTCTCTCCCACGCCCCCCGGGAGGACAGGGCTGAAGCCAGTGGACCCGAGAGCGGGGACTCGGAGAGCCAGCTGCCTGCTGCCAGCCACCCCGAGAGCACGATGGTGACCCATGTGAGTCCCGCCAGGCGCTGGTGGCGCTGCGTGCTGAGCCCGGCCACACGGCTGAGGCCCCTCCCCCCGCGTTTTCTTTTCTGATCCTCACGTGACCTGGGTGAGCTGCCCTCCTCTTGACCATGAGAGAGGAAATCACAAAGAAAGGGCATGAGAAAACATTCCGGGATCTGGGGTCCTTTGAGTCCACATGCATGAATCCTGGACGAGACGCATCTCTCTCCTTTCCTACTCACCCTGGAGCGCTTCGCACGATGCTCACCTCCAGACCACCTGCTTGCTTGCCTGCTAAGCCCACTCGGTTCACAGAGGGTGGAGGGGAGCACGCAGCCCCTCGGACCTGACCAATCAGCCTGTCCCCCCAGCTATTCCAGAAGTGCTGCCTGGTCCAGAGGATCCTGGAGGCCTGGGAGGCCAATGACCACACACAGTAAGAACCCCCGGGGCTCCGTGGGAGGTGTGGTTTCCAGAAGGGGCTTCTGCTGCTGGGCTGCCAGGGAGGCCGGGACCTGAGCTGACACGAGCCAGGCAGTCACCGGGCCGAGCTGGGCTCCTTCCCCTCAGGCTCCTCACCGGCCTGGCTCCTCTGGGGCCTCCTTCACCCTTTACTCCCCCCCCCTCCCCCCTCGCCCGTCCTGTGCCCACAGTGTGTCCCAAATCCCCCATTTCTCCATCCCAGCATCAGTCACTTCTACCATTGAGCCCTTGAACCCTGAAGAGAGTGTCCAGGCCACTTCCTGCTTCCTCCCTGTCCCACGCGGCCTCTGTGTGAGCAGCTGGGCTCTTTCTGAAACACAGATGGTGTCACTTCTGCCTGAAACTCCTGGCCACCCGGGTCCCAGAGTGGCCCTCAGGGCCCAGTGTGGCAGCCCTCCCACTGCCTTGCCCTCTGCCCTGCCTGCTGCTCCTGGGGGTACCTCCCTCCCCGGGTCTATCCCTCATCTCCTGCTCTTACTGAACCCGAATGTCAGTGCAGCCACGGCTGGCGGCTTCCCCGGTCAGTGCACATGGTGCCTGGGAGGCCCTCCCCACACCTGTGCTCCCAGATTGCGTGTTTGTGTGCACGTGTGCGGGTCTGAGAGCTCCCACGGCTCTCACCGGGGGTCTGAGGTGCCCAGCAGGCTTCCACCTGTCCCAGCTTCCCCAGGGGCCAGTGCCCTCCCTGTCTCCTGGGCTTGCCTCTGCCCGGCTCCCCAGCTCAGGTGCTCACTTGCTCACCCCGCTTCCTCCTCTGGGTTCATCAGGCTCTTCGGAGAGAGAACGTGGTTGGCAGCAGGCTCTGTCCACTACCGTCAAGGGCTGTGTTGTAGACGTGTGGCCGTCTCACAGGGAGGCTACTGAGCGTCAGGGACGCCAGGATAGGACGTGCTCTGCTTTGGGCTGTGGGTGTGGAGACGTTCACAGCAGCGTGGGAGGCAAAGGTGGACAGAGCCAGGGCGAGCACTCCCACACCTTGAGCTCAGTGAGGGGAGCGACCCGCCGATCCAGGGCCACAACAGGCGCTCGGGCCCTGCGTCGTCCTTGTCTCCTTGGAGCCGGCCACGTCTCCTGCTGCTGGACTGGGCATTTCCCTGGGCAGTAGGCCCTGGGCCGTGCTGGGAGGGCCTGGGCACCGGGACAGCTGGTGTCTGCGTGCAGGGGAGGGGCGCAGCCAGACGGGTCGCAGGGCTGCAGGGCTGAGCAGGCCCTGCTGGTATGTGGGGAGTGCAGGCTTTGAGCCCGTTCTCTGGTCTGCACACGGGGTGGGAGCAGCATCTCCCAACGCAGGCGAGGCCATGAGGAGGGACTGGGGGGCGATGGGCAAGGCCCAGGCCTGGCAGCTGCCTTCATGCTGCCCTTCGCTTCCAGGGCAGCAGGTGGCATGAGGCGCGGGAACATGGGCCACCTCACCCGGATCGCCAACGCGGTGGTGCGGAACCTGGAGAGGGGTGCCATGCAGACGCCCGTCGGCGAGGTTATCCAAGGTGAGCCCTGGCCCGGGTCTGGCTGCCGTGCCTCACGGGGTCTTCCCTCGGCTGGGTGTGGGCCCCGGCGCCCGTTCTGTTGGGCAGACGTCTGCTCACGCTCAGGGCACACCACGCAGTCCAGCTGTTCTCTGAGCCAGGCAGCCCCTCCCCGCCAGGCCTCACCTCTGCCCTCGGCCTGCCCCCTGGGCTGCTTCCTGCATCGAGATGCAGGGCCACCCCCTGGCAGCTTGTGCCCTTACCCTTCCATCTCGTCCTGGCACAGCCTGCAGCTCCAGCTTCACCAGCTGAGCCGGGAAGGGCCCATGTGGCCTCACTGGGGAGGAGGGTGCCAGGCAGACTGAGCAGGGTTTGCCCAGGATACAAGAGGCAGACAGGTGGGTGGACTGGGCGATGGCCAGGCGGTGGAGTGTGATGGGGGAGGGGGGGTGCGGTGCAGGTGCTGTGAGCCCAGCGCGGGCACGGGGTGCACTGGCGTTCAGTTGAGTTGTGCTGCTGGGGAAGCAGCCTGTAGATGGTCGTCAGTCAGGCCGCAGGCGTGGCCTTGCCGGTGTGTCTCCACGTGGCAGCCTGTGGCCGCAGGGCAGGTGTGAGCCCAGGAAGGGGTGTTCTCAGTCAGTGGCCTCAGGCTGGGGTCAGGCCTCCTGGTCCATCGTTCTCACGATGAGGGTGGGGGCCCAGGTGGGGAGGCGACGGGCAAGTGGGAAGCTCTTGGCTGTCATCTTCCCTCACCGTTTCCGGGGGCGTGAATCGGAGGCTCCTACTTCACCAGAAAAATGGGTGGGGCGTGCGGGTTGTGCAGAGGCCGGGCCATCGGCCGCTTTGTTACAGAAGCCGATGCTGGCGTGTCTGTGTCAGGGCCCCTTGGGGTCCCTTGGGGTCCCTTGTGCACCAAGTAAACTGGGGCTCTGACACCCGCCGAGTCGGGCCCTGTGCCCGCACAGGCCGCCTGGGACCCTGCAGTGGCTCTCGGGACCAGGCAGCACTTCCCTTGCAGGGCTGCCTGCGGATTGCCGTGGGCGCTGGGAGAGCTTCGTGGAGGAGACGCTGACGGAGACCAACCGCAGGAACGCCGTGGACCTGGTGAGGAGTCTCGTCTGCTTGTGCTGCAGCCTCTGCTCCGTGTCCAGACACAGACCCTCTGGCCACAGGCCTGGGCCATCCACGTGCGGGCCTGAGGCCCCGAGCAGAGCTGCTGTGGCCGCTCGGTCCCCTCCCTGTCGTGTCAGGAGGCCCAGTGTGGTCTCCGAGGCCTGTGCCCAGACCCAGTGTGGGCTGCAGGTGGGGAGCAGGCTGGGCACCAGCCCCGGGCGCCAGCTCACTCCTGCCAACTCATGCCCACCCTCTGCTGTTGCAGGTAAGCACCCACCTCCACCCCTCGAGCGAGGATGAGGACATGGAGGGCGTGTTCCCTAACGAGCTGTCCCTTCAGCAGGTGCGTGTGGCCAGGCCCTTCCCCGCAGTCCTAGCGGCACTGAGGCCTCTAGGGGTCCCGCGGCATCTCACCAAACTGCCGAGGGAGACGGCGAGGGGAGCGGTGCTCCTTGTGCCTGGCCCTGCCCCTCCCCCTGTGATGAGGGGAACCTCCCCCCCAAGCCATTTACATGGATGGGGCCCTTGGGGACACAGCAGGTGAATTACAAGTTCAATAGGCTGTTTGGGTGTGTCCCTGAGCGGGAGTCTGAGGCTGTGCCCGTCCCCCAGGCCTTCTCCGAGTACCAGGTCCAGCAGATGACGGCCACCTTCGTGGACCAGTTTGGCTTCAATGACGAGGAGTTTGCAGACCAGGACGATAGCGTCAAGTGAGCCCAGAATGTGCCTGGCTGCCTCCCTCGCACACCACAGCGCCGATTTGTGCCGTCACCCCTCCCCCACCCCCACCCCCACCCCAGGCCCTTTCGGAAGGGTGGAGGTGGGCTCTGCTAGACCTGCCCCATTCCTCAGCTGAGCCAGGTGTGAGCTGTGTGGGAGGGGCCGGGCAGAGAGGGTCCCTCGCAGCCTCCAGGCTCCCCCAGGGAGGGCAGGTCATTTCTCCCCAGTCCCCAGGCTGCCCCTCAGAGCCGGGGAGAAAGCAAATGAGCCCAGGGCATGGGCCCCACCCGGGTGACCCACAGCCCTGGACTGGCCGTGGAGCCGGCCTTGTGCTCTCAGCCCCACTGCTCTGGGCTAGACTCCCTCGGCCTCCAGCCAGCCCCTGGCGCGCCCACCACGCTGCCGCCTGTGAGGGGCTCACCCAGATGCCACACACTGAGCGGCTGTTCTTCTTCCAGCGCTCCCTTCGACAGGATCGCAGAGATAAACTTCCACATCGACGCCGACGAGGACAGCGTGAGTCTCCACTCAGTGTTTGTTGGAGGTGGACGGACACGGCGGTGGGTGGGCAGCGGGGGCCAGGCCTCGGGAGCTGTGTGAACACGTGGCTCCCACAGCCCAGCGCGGCTCTGTTTGAGGCCTGCTGTGGGGACCACATCCAGCCCTTTGACGACGACGAGGACGATGACATCTGGGAGGACAAGGAGGCCCACTGTGCTGCCCGGGGCCTGGGCAGAGCCAGGTGTGTGCCCGCCCGCCCTGCCTCAGCTTCCCCGAGGGACACAGAGGCCCCTGGACGGGTGTGTACCCCAGCCATGCCCGGTCGTGACATCCCCCTGAGCTGACTGTGCTTCCCCCCCAGGTTTGGGGGCCCTCCCGCCACAGAGAGCTGCCCAGAGAACGGCCTGGCGCGTGGAGACCGGGATGGGGAGGAAGCCAATGGAGATGTGGCTCCAGCAGGGGCTCCTCAAGCCGCTGCCCAAAAGGGCAGTCCTCATGTGGAAGGTGGCTCAGAAGGTCGGTGCTTGGGGTGCAGCGTTCAGGCTGGGCAGGGGCACAGGTGACAGAGGACTGGGTGCCCTGGCGGGTGCTCCTAGGGGTCTGCCACCTGCTGACCTGTCTGCGCTCTGGAGTGCGTGGTCCTGAGGGCTCCCCATGCCCCAGCGACCAGGGCCATGCTGAGCTCGGTCCTGACGGCCCTCAGCCACACGCCCAGCAGCCCGGTCGGGGGGCTGCCACTGCTCTGTGTCTGGCTGCATCTGGGCCGAGGGCTCAGGGCCACTCACTCGTCTCCTCTGGCAGGTGCCACGTGGACGGTGTTTGATGAGCCAGCGAGCTCGACCGCTGCCACCCCGGGAGTGGCAATGGACGTGGGATCCAGTGTGTGGGCAGCCAGGGCCCCCAGCACCACGGCTCTGGAGGAGAAAGGCTGGGCCAAGTTCCCCGACTTCCAGCCCTTCTGCTGGTGAGGAGGCAGGGCAGGCGGCGGCCATGCCCGTGTCGGGCAGCGTCTCCCTGCACGGCCTCAGCCTTGGCTTTGTTCACAGCTCCGAGTTGGGGCCCAGGTGCAGCTCCCCAGTGGACGTAGGACCCGGCGATGCCCAGGGCGGCCTGAGCCAGGGCCCAGAGAGAACCCGTGAGTCGGAGCAGCTCTGATGGCAGGGCAGCGGGCAGAGTGGCCCAGGCCCAGGAGGGACGGAAGGCCTTTGAGCCGCCCTTGGAGGGAGGGGCTGCCCCTGCATCTGTCTGTGCCACCGGGACCCCTGGCAGCCTCCTCATGCCTCCCATGCCCTGGGCCGCCTTGGTGGCAGCTGGGGGGCCTGTCCAGAGGCTGGGAAGCCCCAGGGTGTCCAGGGCCACGCAGGGAGGGGAGCTCCTTCGCTGACAGACACACCCCTTGTCAGGCGGTGTGCAGACAGGTTCTGTCCCAAGTCTGAGCTGAAGCTTTTGCATGCCCGCCCGAGTTTGGGGGCTCCCCTGCCCTCACCAGTGTCCCCCGGCCCCTGTCTTGCAGTTGGCTCCGCCTCCCCATGCGCCTGGAATGTGTGTGTCTCCAGGGACGCTCCTCTGGTGGCCTCCGGCAGTGATGAGGACGAGCAGGTGGCTGTCACCTCAGAGGCTGTCAGTATGGGTCCCGGCCAGGAGGCCCCCCCACTGCCCACGCCGGTCCCCAGGTGTGCAGGATTGGGGGGGGGGGTGCGATTGTCCACAGCTCGCCACTTGCCCAGGAGAAGATGGGCCCTGTGACCCCCCCCAGAGGTGGGCTCTGTGGAGAGGGATGCACAGGGGTGAGCAGAGGACCTGAATGTCCCACCCCAGGGACCTGGGAATGGGGCCGCCCCACCCATAGGCCCACCTTGGAGAGAATGGCCAGGCCCTGCTGAGCCACTCCCTAGGCTCTGGGGTGGCCCTGGGTGGTGGGAAGGGGGTTCAGCTTTTATCCTGTCTGGTATGTGCTAAGTCCCAGCCATGTGCCCACCTAAACCAGGCGCCTTGGAAAGAAATGCCTGTTGCGCTCAGACAGTGGGGGATGTTAGGGCTTTGCAGCTGAACCCTGATGGGGGCTGACCTCCGTGCAAGCTGAGCCCCCACATGTCCCACCCCTACACTCAGGGAGAAAGTCCAGGCTGGGCTGGGGGTTGGGGGAGGGGGAGGGCAGCACAAGGAGCTGTTTTGGAAACGAGGGAAGGAGTGGTGGGCAGCGTGAGGTGCAGCCACAGCAGGCGGTGCTGAGTGAGATGGCGCCTTCCCGGCCTTCCCTTGTTCCCCCCACAGGCGGGCAGACTGGCACCTGGCCAGGTCCCACCCACCCCGGTTCCCACCTGAGGTGGAGCTCTGGGCATCCCATTGGTGGGGGTCCCGCTCTGGCTCACAACAGGAAGTGGGGCAGGGCTATGATGAACAGAAAAGCATGGCCAGGCAAGGGGGCAAGCCTGGGGCTCCTGAGGGGTTTAGTTCCTTAAAGCAGCATTACAGTTCTTAAACTGCCCCCGACCTCTCCCCTCCTAAACAGCTGTCCTCTGACCAGCGGGTTATGTCCTTCCAAAAGCGAGCCGTCGGCCTGCCTGCCTGCCCTGGCCGATGTGGGCTTGCGCCTTCCCGGTCGTTGTCTGCAGGCTCATGTGGTCTTATTCCACACGCTGCCAACCGCACCTGGCGCAGCCCCACAAGCCCTCTTGCCTGCTCTGCAGGTTCCCAGGGGTCCTTGTGAGGGTGGTGTTGACATGACAGTGGAAGCAAGTGCTGGGCAGGTGTGGGTCCTTCTGGGCAAACCTCCTGGGCTGCAAGAGGGGCCAGGCTGTCCCTAGGCCGTCATGCCCTGGCCCTTTCCAGGTGTGGGAGGGCAAGTTCTGGGCAGACATGGCCTGTGGGCTGTCAGGGAAGTGCCAGGGCCAAGTGTGGTCCCCAGAAATGAGGGTCCCGGGGAGCAGGTAGGGGCTGCCTGGAGGGAGGGTGGAGACCTTGGGGGCAGGCAGGTTGCTCTGGCATGTTGGGAACTTGGGGCAGCCCAGGTCACTGAGACCAGATCTGCCCACAGGGCTGCCAGCACGCTACCAGGTCCCACCTCTGCACCTGCAGAAGCCACCTCCACACTGGCTGGGGCTGTCCCCCCCGAGGCAGCCTCCACAGCTCTGAGCAAGGCCAGTCCTGCCCCAGGCCCCGCAGGGGTGCTGGCTGTGGCAGTGCCCCCAGGGCCCATGGTGGCCGTCACCACCACAGCCACAGCCAGCCCAGCGGTCTCCACAGTGGCCATTCTGGGGACCGTGACAAAGGACAGGTGAGCAGGCTGGGCCAGGGGGAGGGGACTGGACAGGGACCCTTGGGCCCTTAGGTTCCAAGACCCACTCCTCTTCCTGCAGGAAGACAGCTGCCCCGCCAGCAGGAGCCGCCTCCAATGGCCCCGTGTGATGCTGCCACCCAGCCAGGGCGCGCCCTTAATCGATACCTACCTGGTGATGCAATTTGTCTTTTTTAATTTAATTTAATTTTAAAATAAATGCTGCATTGGTAAAGCTGGCAGTTGGACCCAGTCGGACGGCCCAGCTCGCGTCGCTCCTGCCTGACCCCATGCACAGCAATAAGGCTTCAGAGTGCGCTCTGCCTGCCAGAGCCAGGCCACAACCCTGGTGCCACAAGGACTGAGGCGTGATGGGCGCGGACGCCACAGGCTGCCAGCCTGTTTTTACCGATTTTTAAACAAACGCAGAGAGAGCCGTGTTTGCACTTTGTATCTGGCTGCAGTGAAGGGTCTCCCTGACTCGGGACAGATGCATGTCCAGAGCTGGGCTGGCCACACAGGTCTTAGCTGCCCAGGGGCCCTGGGAGCTGGCCTCTAAGCCAGGATGCAACATTTGACTGCCTTAAAAATATCGAGACCCTCACAGCCCGGCAGGGGTATCCCAGCCCTGGCACTCCGGTGCATTTGGGCACCTGGCAAGAGCTGGCCATGGGCATGCAGGAGGGGGCAGGGGCGGAGACTGGCCCCAGCAGTGCTGGGTGGGTGGAGTCTGCACCCGCTGGGGCAGTGCCATCGTCCTGGAAGGCCTGCAGAGTGTGTGATGCTGAGTCCATTTTTAATGTTCTGATGATCTCTGACAGGGCACCCAAACCCCAACTCCCAATAAAGTTGTGTTATTCTTACTGACAACCGCGTCTTGTGAAGCTGCACACCCTGGAGCCCATCCTGGCCAGTGGGGAGGGAGGGGTGTCTGCTGCCCCAGGCCCACCCGTCACAGCTGCAGGTCTCAACATCTGAGCAACAAGGAGCAAAACACATTGAGCTTTTCCTCTGCCCGGAGCTCACGACTCCAACACCTCAAATACGAGGGCCACCCCGTCCTCCCTGGCCAGGCGGGAGGGGCAGCTGAAGGGCAGTGACTCCCCCCCAGGGTCTGTGCCTGGCTACTGGCCGGGAGGAGGGTCTCCCAGGAAGGCCTGGTGCTGTCCTGACCTTGCCCTGGGGCCACTGCTTTGGTGACTTCTGCCCCTGACCCCAGGGAACAAGCCCCATGGCCCCACATGACATTCAGGCACAGGACCCCAAGCCTGTAGGTTTCCTGGGTATTGGAAACGGTCCCACAGCCGGCAGCAGTGGCCTAGGGAGGACCTGAGGGCCCCACCTTCTACCCCCTGTGCTGGCAGAGGTCCCACCTGCACCTGTGTCCACCTCTGTGTGTGTTTTTTTTTAAATATATTGTTATTGATTTCAGAGAGGAAGGGAGAGAAACATCAATGATGAGAGGGAATCATTGATTGGCTGCCTCCTGCACGCCCCCTACTGGGGATCAAGCCTGCAACCTGGGCATATGCCCTTGACCGGAATTGAACCCGGGACCCTTGAGTCCACAGACCGATGCTCCATCCACTGAGCCACACCAGCCAGGGCCACCTCTGCTTTTCTACTTGACAGATGCCACCCCTAGCTAGGCCCCCACACCACCAGCCCCTCTGACCAGGAACCAGTGGCCACCCCCAGACCACTGCAATGTTCTCTCAGCTCTGACACCCATCCCCCACACCCCACCTGCTGCCCACCCCACAGGTGAGGCCGGGGCTGGTGGGACTCACGTCTGAATGGGAAAGGAGCCCATCACTCCCAAGACGTGCTGGGGGGTGGATTGGCATGTGGAACCGATCCCCAGAACCAAGGCCATCAGTGACAGCCACCACGCCTGCCTCAGGGCCATGCCCGTGCCACGTATGATCCCTCTTCCCCACATCCTCGGGCACCCTCGCTCCCAGCCCACCCTCCTAGCACCTCCTTCCATCTGACCAGCGACCACCATGTCTCCGTGACCCCATCCTCCAGCCCCTCCGCCCAGTCTGCCCTCTGGGCAGCCTCCCGAGAGCCATGCAAATGACCGACTCCACCTCCCCTTACGGAAACCACTGCCTCTTCACAGCACCAGGGAGGTCCTCAGGCTGTGCAACCCCACCACCAGCCGAGGCCAGGCCAGAGCAGGGGCCTGAGGGAGCTGCCCCAGGGCTGTGGACAACCTGGCAGAGTGCTCGACCCCCACGCGGCCGACCTGGGTCCTTTCCTCTGGGAAGCTGGAGACGCAGGCGTGTGGCACATAGTTAGTTCTCTTTATAGACTCTGTTTGTAGGAACAGGGTGCCTGCGGGCCGCCGGGGCCACCACGCGGACAGGGCTGGGCTATTTACAGGCCCACCGAGAGGGCTGTACCATGGCGCCTCCCGCCAGCGCTCCGCCAGGACTCCAAAATAAGTCAGAGCTGGCCAGGCGGGCGGGGTGGGCAGGATGGGGTTGGCAGGGGCTATACACACAAATTCGGGGGCTGGGCCTCAATACTGTCAAGGGTGGGGGCTGTAAACATGGCCGGGGGGCCCTGCCCACCCCTAGTGGTCTGTAACTGGACACAGCGCAGCCGGGCAGGGCTGGGCTCAGGCGTCTGACAGGCAGCTCTGGATCTGGTCCACCCACTGCTGGGCCGACGGCACGTCCTGGGCACAGAAGTTGTAAACACGACGAGTCGTCTTCACCTGGGGAGGGTGGGTAGCTGAGTCCTCGGCCCACCCCACGGAGCCCCCTGCCTGCCCGCCCGCCTTCTCCTGCACCCTGGTCACAGCTCACATCGAAGAAGGCCTTCTCGTCCACGGTCTTGGGGGCGCCCATGGTGGGAGTGCCAGACACCACGGCCTCCACCTCCGCCAGGTCGATGACCCCCTTGCACTCTGTATCCACGCGGTGGTCGTAGTAGCGCAGCTGAGGGGGACAGGAAGTCAGGGCCGGTCCTAGCCCCTGCCTACCCTGTGCCCACTGACCACTCACCTGGTGCTTAGTCTTGTCCAGCACGAACCAGCGGGCCTTCCAGGGCTTCATGAAGGCCCCCTTCTTGTAGAGGGTGCCCTCGTAGGACCTGCATTGGTAGTGGAACCAGGGCCATCAGCGCCCGCCCAGCCAGGCCCAGCTGTCCCCTCCCCTCCTGGCCGGTCCTAGCAGCAAGACCAGCGCCCCTGTCCCCAAATGAAGCAAGGCTGAGCACTGACCAGGGAGCCCCAGAAAAGCGGAGAAGGGCCCCCCACATCAGAGCCTCGGGTGTCCGTGAAGCCACCCTGCACACACGGCAGGTGCTGTGGACGGGGAGGAACATCCAGCAGCTCCCCAGGCCCAGAGGGCGATGCAGCCGCCAGGCCCTGGCCTCACCGGGAACCTACTTCAACCTCACCTGGCACCCTGCCTGCCCTCACCGTACCCATAGCCCTGTCCCTCTGCTCTGCAGCCACCTTGGCTGGGCTATGGTCACTGGTTCTACATCCCAAACCCCTTCCAAGCCACTATTGTGTCCCCAGCAACTGAGCTGAAGCTCAAGCCACTGTCGGGTCCCCCCACAAGTCCTTCCCCCCCGAGAATGACCAGAAGTTCCCCAAGGGCACCTGCTCCGTGATCTGAGAGGCCCCCAGCCCAGAGGTGCCCACAGCCCAGTGGGCGGTGCCTCGCACCTGTTCTCACTCTCAGCCGTCTGGAACTGGCTGTACAGGGTGCTGGTGCTGCGGCGGGCGGCCTGGCGGGAGCCGGATGTGGTTGAGCCACTGCTCTGGTCACTGTCCAGGCTGAGGCTCAGGGTGGAGCCCACAGGCCCCTCCTGCAGGTACACACCCAGCGAGCGGCGGTGGTGGGGCACACTGGACACCAGCAGAGAACTGGGGGTGCCCTGGGGGCAGGAGATGGGCCTGTGTCAGTGCCAGGCGGCCTCTACCACTTCCTGGCAGCAAGCCCACCCAGCCCCCCACAGCCACCCCCCGCTCACATGTCCGTCTGGCCTGCCTTCGAGGCGCTGGGCAGCCTTCACCCGATCCCAGTTGTCCTTCCACCGCTCAGGGGGCCGGCCCAGCTCGGTCTCCAGCCGCTGCAGCTCCTGGGGAGAATCAGGGAGCTAGCGTTATTCAGAAGTACCCAGCCTGGGACGTGAAACAGCAAAAGGAAGAAAATACAGGAAAGTGAGACAGTAGGAAAAGGGCTAACGTGTATTAACAGGACAAAAGGAGAAGACAGGGTGGGGGAGGTGCAAAATCAGTATTTAGAGACAACAGCTGGAAGTGTTACCAAACAAGTAAGAGGCATCACAACATAATGAGGGCACTGCAAACCCAAACAGGCTACGGCAGGAAAACGGCTGAAGTACAAAGGGAAACCCAATCCCTACCAGAAAAGAGGCACGCGCTCTTCAGAACGCAACAACGGAACTGCCGGCTAAAGTGCCCCCGAAGGCGGGACGTCCACCTCTGGTCACAACAGTGATCAGCTCCTGACTAGCCGCCGTAGACAACCATGGGCTGGACCAGTGCGGCCAGAGGCCCTGAGACGGTGACGCCACGGCCACAATCGGGAGGCAGAGCCCGAGCCAAGCACCGAGGTGCCGAGTTGCGGAGGCAGCCGCCAGGAGGCTGGGGAGGCCGACGTGTGTGGGTCCGCAGGGCGGCGATGGAGAGGAGGGATGGCACAGAAACCCACACTGAGGCCTCCTGAGTGTTTGGCCAAAAACTGCCATGTGACAGGCAAGATGTCACGAGGCCTGAACAGCTACTAAGGAGCTGGGAGCTAAATCCAAGCCTGGAGGGGACACGCTGCGGGGAGATGAAGGAATGCCAGACACCCAGAGCCGGGCTCTTTGCGAGCACACGCAGCAGAAACCCAGGAGGGGCCACGCCTGTGGAGCAGGGCCCCTCTGAACCAGAGGAAGGTGTCTCTCGAGCTGCCCTAACAAAGCTTAGAAACAACCCAGAGAAGACCAGCCAACACACAAGCCCATGAGCTGCCTGGAAGAATAAAACTCAAGACACATTCAAGGAAGACAACACATTCCTAACGCTCAACAATACGGAACCCACAGTGTCCAGCTTATAAAACATGATTAGACAACAAAAATGCAGGAAAATGAGACCCATACTTAGTGGAAAGGTTAAAAGAAACAGCCCCCAAATGAAATTGGTACTAAATTACCACACAAGATTTTAAGAAAAAGATGGACATAATGGTTGAACAGATGGGGACTCTGCAGAGAATATAACTATGAAAAAAAATTCTAGAGCTGAAAAATATCTAAAATGAAAAATTAGATAGACTTAAGAGCACATAAACATAAGAGAAATAAACTTGAAGACAAAATAATAGAAATCCTCCAAAATGAATTGCAGAGAGGAAAGACAGGAGGGAAAAACAGCCTCAATGACCTATGGGAAAATAAAGTCCCAGAGGAAAGAAGGGAGAGATTGTGAAGAAAAAAACTTTTAAAAGAAATAATAGCCTAAAATGTATTAAACTTGATGAAAACTATCATCCCATAGATTTATGATGCTTAAAGAGCTCCAAGCAGAATGAACACAGAAAAACCATGTGATGGTCAAATTGTTGAAACCAAAGATGATGAGAAAAATCCTAAAGGTTGTAAGAGGGAAAAAAAAGGGTACTTTATGCAGTTTACAACCATAAGAATGAGACCAACTTTTAATCAGAAACACTACAAGCCAGAATCATATTTTTAAACGACTGAGTATAAAAAGCTGTCAATCTAGAATTCTATACACAACGAAAACACCCTTTAATAAATACAGGCACAATGCAGACACTTTCAGGTGAACAGAAGCTGAGGAGACCTGCACTACAAGAAACAGTAAATGTCCTTTAGGCCAAAGGGAAATAATACTAGATCAGATCTACAATAAAAGAGTAAAGAATACTGAAAATGGCAATTACAGAAGGCTTTTTCATTTCCTCATCTCTTTAAAACCAAGTTGACTATGTTAACACCATCCCTCCTGTGTATCTGTAACACAGGTGAAAGTAAACTGCAGGATGACAACATGACAGACAGACGGGGGTGATGAGGAGGGTGCTGACGGGGTCTGTGTGTCAGGTGGCACAGAGAATTCAAGACAAGATTGTTCAGTCCACCCCTTATCCTCAGGGACACGTGCCAAGACCCCCACGGGATGTCTGAAACCGTGAACAGTACCAACCTACCATCTATACTATGTTTTCTCCTGTACATTCATACCTGCGATAAACTTTAACTTAGAAATTAGGCATCCTAAGAGATTACCAGCAATAGTAATAAAGTTGACTTATACGTTGTAGTAAGTTATATGAATGGGTTTGGGCTGTTATTTAGTAAAACAAGGGTGACTTCAACCAAGCACTGCAATACTGTGAGTCAAGCTGACAACCCAGGTGACGCCGCCGTGGCTAACAGGAAGGAGCGTCTGGGGGGGCAGGGAGAGAGGGTTCTGGGCAGGACAGCGGGTGCAGGATCTCTCGACTCAGAATAATGCGCAATTTAACATGGATGAACTGTTTCTGGAATCTTTCATTTGTTATTTTTGGATCATAGTTGATTACAGGTAACTGAAACCATGGATGGATAAGGGAGGACTGACTCCTGGGGTCCCTCACAACCACTAAAAGTAACACAAAGAGGTATAGCTCAAAAGCCTGATAAGTAGATAACACGGAATACTAACAACTAATTGTTAGGAAAGGGACAAAAAAAATGAAGTAGAAAATAACAAAATGCTAGACTTCAACCAAACCACATCAACAATTAAGTGTAAACAGAGTAAAAATTCCAATAAAAGGAACCGTCAGAATAGATGAGACCCAACCACATTCTGAGTAAAAGAAACTCAAATATAAAGACACATGCAGTCGAAGTCAAAGTATAGACGAGAACGTGCCACACGGGTGTTGTTTGTAAGGAAGTTAGTGCACAGTTCACTCCAGACCCCAAGTCTATTCATGTTCCCTGTGCTTGTGGGTCACCTTCACCCACAAACCCATGGCCCTGTGCTCCCCCAGCCCCTGGTGGCAGGTGCCCTCAGGCCAGGCCCAGTGTGGCCCTGCAGAAACCTATTCCTGCTGGTTTGCACGACCACCTCCCTGAGACGCAGGAATTAGCACCTCTACTCTCCCCAAGGAAACAGAAGCTCCAAGATGCTGAGTTATTCCCCCACAGCCACTCAGTCCAGCCTTCCTGACTGCCTGGCCACCATGGAGAATTCTGGCTGCTGGGCGTCCCTGCCACCCAGCCCCCACCCCCCAGCTCACAGGGCTCTTCCCTGCCCCAGGGCCTTGGCCCCAACAGATCCCGATGCCTGAGGCAGAGCAGACATGACCTCCAAGGAGAGGAGGCCCGGCGTCAACCCCAAGCGCCCAGGCCCATGGGCACGCTTCTCGGAAGGGGACCCGAGGCAGGTGAACCAGAAGAGGGGTGGGAGCTGGCGCACCAGGACCTGGGAGAACCTTGCCTTTCCTCAGGGCCAACACCCTGGCGGCAGGGAGCGTGCACAGGCCCAGAGCACCACTGCCTGCATCCAGGGCAGGGCAGGCCCCGGCAGGCGGGCAGGCAGCGTGCAGGCCGGTGAAGGGCAGGGCCACTGGACACGCACACACACGCACACACACGCACACC